TCACTTTGTAGGGTATGCTAGAGTGGGTCAGAGGGTGTGTAGTTCTACTTTTTGACAGGGGAACTGTTTGGCTTTTTCTGGCTTCTCCAATTTTTTTCTAGAATAAAATCTATCATCCTTAGTCTTCAAGATAAATGATGCTGCTCAAGACCAGAGGCATACATACTCAAATTTTATAATTTGCCCCCAGAAGAGCTGGTATTTGATGCTCCAAAGAGCTAGCTCAGCCAGCTACATGAGGATCCACCCTGCCACTGGTGAGACTTCTGTTCACCGTTCTGGTTTGACTATGTGACTGCTGGAACTTGAGCTGACTGCCTGAGATGGGCCAGGATGGATTTATCCTGGTCAACGGCCGGCCCCTCTGCTGTGGCACAGCGCTCGTGCTGCTAGTAGATTTCATGGCTGTGCTTAGTGGGTGTTGTAAAGTCCTCCAGCTGTCCTCCACTGTACACCTCATGTTCCTTAGTGCGTAAGCAAGCAGCAGTAACAGCATCAGCTGGCCACGTCTTCTGTATTGCCTGCTACTGCTTGCACGCTTCTTTTTTCAGAGAATGGCTATTCCCACTCCTTTGTGCTCCGTTGCATTTGTTCCTGTAAATAAGCAGCAAAAGATCTACCTGTAAAGCACAGTCTATCAGACATACCCACAGGAGGTGGTCCTCCGTTTCACCATGATGAGGGGGCCCAAGCAGCCCCTTTCACCTGTGGAATCGCCTCTCTAGACAGTCCCAACCAGGCTGTCAGCCTCAGTTTCTTGGTGGCCACAGAGGCAGCAGGCTGTGTGGCTGCCTCATCGCATTTTTGCCATCCCCCTTTTGGAAGGGGTTAATAGCAGCCATGGTGCAACTTCTGGAGTTACTGCCATAGTACAGATTACTTTGCGTATTTTCAAATGCATGCTGTGGTACAGCAGTGCTTGAAGTATTTAAGCAAAGAGTTAAACCCTGGATCTGATGAGGGGGTGGTGTGAAGGAATCTCTCCTGTAATCTAGAATCTCGTGGCCCTTCTTCAAAGAGCATTTCTTTCTAAAGCATTCCGTGACTATTGCCTTTGTTATCCAGGGCTGAAGCTTATGTGATTTCATAGATACTTCATAATGACCTGCCTGACTGTGCTAGGAATCAGGCTTCTGCAGCCTCAGTACAGTAGAAGCTGCACAATAGCTTCTTTTCATTAATGAAAGAAGAAATCTCTTGTGCTTATGACTGTCTTGTCTGGTTTTGGAATACCTCCAACACGCCCTAGCTAGGGTGGGAGGAACATTTGTGGCTTGTACTATACTTAGAACTGCCTCAATAAGATTCTTTTCTTGACACCCTAAGCGAAATAAAAGAAACGTCATTAGTTTCCAGCCTGTTCAATTCTCTTTAAAGTTGTTGGCTGCATCTCTGTTCGTTACATTTGCATTTCCTGATGGGAATTTACTGTCACGGGGCATGATGCCAGTTATGCTGCTTTCAGGGCTGGTATTCTGGCAAATCAGTGGAGCCTGACACGACTCAGTCTCAGCCTTTGCCGCCAAATGTGTCAATGTTCTTCTGTTTTGAGCCTTCATTCGTCAGGAAAAATGTTAGTGTTAGGAAACGCTGGGCTGGATGCTTCAGGAATGTCCAAGGCAGGGCTGGTAGCAGGCAGAGCACAGCAGTACCTTATGTCTGGCTGGTTTGTTACTGCCCAGCTTGGCACAGCTCTTGGTAGAACAGGCTGCTCTGCTGTTGTGCTCGAGTGATTCACCAGATAGGTGGGGTGCAGAAGAGGGGACAGGGAGGTTGTGGTTTGTGCTTATGTTTGAGGTCTTGTAATTATTCAAGCTTCAATTTCTAGACGTCTGGTGGCCAGTGATGTTTTTTGATGGATGGTGTTGTCTTTCCTTCACTATTTGATCTGCTGTTACAAGCATGTATTCTGATTTCTGTGGAAGGGGTAGCAATGGTTTGCTGCACTGTGAATCCAGTGACTGGCTTTAGCTTTACTCATGATGTGTGCGCTACAGGTGGATAGGCCAGTTCCTCTGTTTCCTGCATGAAGAGACTTTATTTGGAAATTAGTTTTTTTCATGTCATTTTAAGTGTGGGTGGGGGATGGCATGGAGTTAGGAAGAGTGAGAGGTTTACATCTGAAATTATAATATGTTGTCACATCTGGACCCTATTTTTTTAAGAAGCTCATACATTTTAACAAATATGAACCAAACACCTTCCTTAATACGTCAGTCCTGTTGAGTGCCTCTTTTCTGTTTACTGGAGTAATTTCTAATGGGAAAGTGAAATCTCATCAAGGCTTTTGCATCACTGTCTATAACCATGACAAAGGGCTGTTGACCAAAAATCAAGTCAATTGTAGTTTTACGAGGCTTGTCAGCTACCATCAGATAGGAATGGTTTTCTGTTACTTATGTTCTCTAAGGCAATTTATATAAGTAAGGTTTTAACATCATCTGCGTACATGAATTATTGTATGGAAGCTGAAAATAAGGTGAAAATATGGTCCATGTTTGCTTGTCATTGGGTTGGGGAACATAAGCAACATAGCAGGTGACAGCTGTGTTCTGAGGTGTGTAGAGACACCTCTGGATGTTTTCTGGCCTCTGATTACATAGCTGCAAAGCAAAAGCACTTTTTATCAGAATGACCTGGATCCTCCAGGCAGAAGCAGTTTCTTCCTTCCCCTTTCTTGACTGCTACCATTGACAGTAAAATCTTTATAATGAATAGCAGCTTTGGAAATGCCTATTTTTGGAATGAGGCTCCAAGTAATAAGCATTTGGTGGCAAGGACGGCCAGAATAAATTTTGTAGAGAAAAGGTATTCAGCATTTTCTTAGCCTATCACTTTTCAGAGTGTTTTCATAATTTTTCCTTCTATAAAATCAAAGCATCAGCATAAGCAAGCTTGTATATTAGGTCTATTCAGCCTGAGAATGCTGTGCAAGTAGGGGTCTGTGGAGTACTGAAGTCTCCTCCACACTGCATCTAGTTTTTTGCGTTCTGCTGTGGAGTTGAGCAGGTTCATGTCCTGGATGGCTCCAGCTAGCTCACCACCTGTGTGATGTAGGGAGCCAAGAGGTGTGCTGTGCAGTAGCTGGTGTTTTCCTGCAGACCCCATAGCTGCTCTGTGCGTGGCTTTACGTGTCATGTGGGAAGGTGCTCGGCCCAACCCCTTTTCCTGCTGCTGCAGCTCCTCCCTTGCACCTCTGGGAAACGGTTCTTCTCTGGTCACTCACACACGTGCATTATGTGCTTATCCAAACAGCACCCACCTAACACTCTGAAAAAAAATTGCATAGAATGCCAAAAATGAGATTTGCTTGCTACAGCTCAAATGGACAAGTGGGAGTCTCGATAAGAAGACCTATCACAGCTCTGGAGTGACGTGGTTAGAAAACAAAACAAGGGGTGAACTGTATAAAGTGTTTTTATTAGCTGGAATTTAGCTCCTGGCCAGTGACAGACATTGTTGCACCTCAACAGATGAGGAACCTGCCTCTGCAGAATCCTAGAGTATTACTGTGTAAGCAATTTGATCAAACAGCTTGGTGAAATATTAGGCATCTTCTCCAACAGATACAACAGGTAAATCCCTGCCAGGGTCTTATTGCCTAAGCCAAAAATCAAAGTTAAGCACAGAGCAGAAAGGAGAAGGCAAGCGTGTCACTACTCTATTTTTAAGTCTTTAGAATGAAAAGTTCCCTGCCATGCTTGCCTCCCCCCCCTTATTTTTCTTTTAATCATGTGTCCTGAGTGAGAAATCATCCTTTTATTTTATAATTTTCCTGGGTTTATAGAAAGATGACAGTTTGACCTGCTTGCACACAATTCCTAATCAAGGTGACAAACTCATTTCTTGTGTCCTTCTTGCATGGTCAGAGTGAAGGACTCTAAAAATGCCGTTTCTGATCAGAGATTACACATTTTAACTGCATGCTAGACTATTACTGTAAAAACCATTGCTGAAGACTGGAGGCTGAAGAGGATCATGCTGTGTAATCCTTAGAGGGGAAAAGGAAGGTTAAAAAACAAAATAGCTTCTTGATGCTGTTAATCTTGGACTGACCTTTGGCTTTAGGTTTTAATGTAAATATAGCATTTATTTTTGTGGCAGACAACTTTCAGTCCACAAGTCCATTCTGCTCATCTTGTTCACTTTGATATGTCTGACCAAATATTCCTCCAGAAAAATGTTGCAGATTACATCCTGCAAGAAAGATATTATGAAAGGAGTGCTGGACACTAACAGCTGTTTCACAAATGCCATAGACAGCTTCAGTTTCCTCAAAAAAAAATAATTCTGTGGAGTTTGGTCCTTGAAGAACTTAATGTGACCTTAGCAGCAAAATGTAAAGCCCATTCATTCCTTTGGCTTCTACTAGCCAACAACCTATGATGGATCAAGCTCTTTTCCATGCTATCTGGAAAAAACAGTGCTTTATTTCATGTGACTATTTATCAAAGCATTCCACTGAATCTTTTCAAGCGTGGTTGGTTTTTTCTTGCCCCTCCTTTCCTACCAGCAGTCTCAGTCCTGGGAGCAGCAGCACGGGAGGCAGCAAGGGAAGGGGGGGGTAACCTTCTAATATACTTTGTTGGGTTGCCATTTTTACTGTGTGTTCTTAAGGTACTGGAGATTGTGCTTAGGTGAGATGGTAGAATGGTTTGATGTTACTGTGTACAAACATGATGAGTGTTCCTTTACTCAACAGCAGCAGTGTGTCTGCTGCTGCTTTCTACTGGTTGTAGCACTTGGGTTCTGCCTGACTCTTTGAAACCTGCAACTATCAAGAGATATATTCTCCTAGACTTTTGTAATAAAAGGATGTAAAGTTTCAAACATGACAGGTAAATTTTGTTTAAAAAAGTTCCTTGCTCATGAACAAGACATGGACTTTTTTAAATAATGTGTGTCCTGTCTGTATGTTGAAGGCTTGTGTTGCTTCAGCCAGTGCCTTGGATAAAGTGCTAGCAACTGTTTTGCTTTTTCTCCTCCTGCTCTCCCTGCAGTGCACGTATATTGAGATTGAGCAGGTGCCGAAGACTCATGCTGTTGTGCTGAGCAGGCCCTCCTGGCTTTGGGGGGCAGAAATGGGAGCTAACGAGCATGGAGTCTGTGTAGCTAATGAAGCCATTGTGACCAGAGAACCAGCTTCTGAATCTGAAGCCTTGCTTGGAATGGACCTTGTCAGGTGGGTGGCTTGCTGAGCTGTGACCAGCTTTTCAAACACCAAAGGTTTAGGTGAGGATGATACTGGGTAACAGCTCTGTAGTCTTGGCATTAGGAGATTTTAAAGCATATATAAGCAAGAGACCTGTCTAGGCAGAGCTCCAGGCACAGCTGAGTTAACTCTTAAAACACTTGGAGTCAGAATTTGGCTACCAGATATGTAGCAGTCTAATGTTGGTTCATTACCTACCTACCCTATAGTCTAGCAGTGGCTGTTCTCTCAAGGTAAGAGCGATTATTTCATTCTTAGTAAGGAATTGCTAAATAATTTGTAACATCAGATTGCTGGTGTGCCCTTCCTTCTCCCCCACTTTACAACAGCTTACTCTGACCTAAAAATCTTATATTTGGCTTATAGCCAACTGTAGGCATAAATAACCTACTGTGTCTCACTTCAGCCCATGCATTCCAATGCAAACCATCACCCTTATTTCAGCGCTGGCAAACAAACTCCTGTAAGTCTGTTCATTGAAGTCTCTCTGCCTAAAAAGCTTGTGCTGCACTTTAAATCTCAACCTGCATGCTCATCTTGTAGTGAAGAGGATTTAAAGGAGAGTTCAGGGGGGGAAGAAAACTGAAAATGAAAGAAGAGGAGGAAACGGTGCACACTTACTACAAAGAGGATACTTAATGAGCAGGCTGAACCAATTTCAGACAAATTCTCATTTTTCTTGAGAACCAGTGAAAGATGGGAGATGTTCTGAATGGCTGGAAAAGGCTAAATGTGTGGCTATATTTAATACAGGTAAAAAGAGCTGTGGTTATAGACTAGCTTCGCCTAGGTTCCTGAAGGGGAAAAAACCCCACTTAAATGTCAAGGAGTTGATAAATGTGCAGTAATTGCTGTTAGTCAAGAAAAGAGCTGTCAAACCGTTCTGTTTTAATTCTGTAGTGAGTTAGCAAATTTTATGGATAGAAGATAGAAAATAGATATCTTTATTTTTAAGAGGGATTTAAAATCTTAGAATATTTTTTCAAATAAATTGTTTTTTGATGTATAGCTACATGAAACTGTGATTGTGAACGTTCCCTAACAGTGTCTCTGTGGAAACACAGTGTCTAGTTCCAGCTACCATAAATCAAGAGGAAGGTGAGCCAGTTGGAGAGAAAGCAGTGGAAATGGGAAATATGATCAGAGATCTGTAGAATCTGATCAGTGAGAAAATCATGAGGGAATTTGGATTCTGTTCCTCCTTGGTATTTTCTCTAAATTCTGTGTTAGTGAAGAAATCTGTGTAGAAGCTGTACCTGGGAGGACTAGTGAGTTTAATTTCATCAAGGGAGACTGAATAGACTCAGGTGCTCTTTTAAGAATATGTACAAAAAAGTTTTGTCAAGAAAAGGGCGATTAGGTGATTTTCCAAGCTCCACCTTTATTTTTTCTCTTCTAATACTATCCTTTTGAAATTTCAATAAACCATTGGTTTAGATGCAGATTTCAGCTTATTTTGGTGACAGTTACTGCAGTCTCAAAGTAGTGTTTAACATTCAAACCTGTCAACCAGGAGCTCTAGATTTACCCACACTAGCAAACTGGGAGATATCAAAATAAGGGGAAACTGGTTATAAGCTACAAGTGATCATCACCTGTAGATATTACCTTCCCTTTCTTCCTTCTCATCTGCAGAAGAAATTCTTAGCTCCAATGCAGAGTGCTTCAGAATGAGAGATGTGTTGCAGATGACTTGGCCAGTTGCATTGAACTTGCCTGTTTTGGATCACCTCATAGAACAGAGACCAAGTACAAAATCAGTCATGTAGGCTGCAAAGAAGTGGCTGGCGCCAGCTCTCTCTCTTTTTGCAGAACGGACTGATTTTATCTGTCAGGATTTATTGGAATAAAAGCAATCTGAGGCGTTTCAAGCCTAATTAAGAAATGCACATCTCTGCTGGCCATATTTTTCTCACACCTATGTGTACGTTGTTGGACTTCTGAAGCATGTTCTTCAGAGCAAGTGTGAGAGTTATCAACCCAGGAATGTCATCCAGGTGGTAGAATCAAATTTTGCTGGAATGCTCAGGCTCCCCTAAGAGTTTGCTTCTCTCTTCTCTTAAAGTTATTATTCTTTTCTCTCTTTGAACTCACCTGGAATAGTCACTTTTCAGTTAGGGTTTAAAATCAGCCAGCATGGATGAAGGCTGCAGGTGGGTGTTATGAGAGCACGTGGTGTTTAACAGGCCAGAGGCATCTTTCTGCAGGGTGGTTTAATTCTGAAGTCAGCACATTTTCTTGTTGAAACAGGACATTGAAAATTCATCTGCAACCTCATAGAGAAAGCATTTTCTGCAATAGAGATCACAGTGGACATAATTAAAGATCTATTTCACAAAGTTCTTAGCTTTTTAGTAACTGGCTGCTGGCTTTTAATGACTCAACAGTGTGTTACTCAGTATACTGCTGTATCTAAGGGTGAAGAGAGATCTGCAAATTTGTAGCTTGATAGTGTTATCAGAGCACGTCAGAACATATGAATGATTCTTAAGAAATTAATAAACTTTGTGTGATTGATTTGAGGGGTAGAACTTGGTCCTACCCCATGCAGGCTTGTCCCCATCACAGTTTATCTAAATGGAGAACCTACTCACAGCAGAGAAGGATTGAGGGAGAACAGGTCCCAGCACAGATTCTAAGAAACGTGTCTTTTCTGTTCTAGGCATTTATTCAAAATCTGTTCTTTGAAAGCTGCACCAGTATTGCTGCATTGGTTAGCTTATCGTGATTTGCTTCAGATATTCTTTCTAGTGTGGTATTCTTTCAGTTTGGTTTTTTTGGTCTGTTTTTGAGGCACAGTTGCCTCTATAGAGCATTTGTTACTTATGGAAATATGTTCATATGAAGAGGTGGTGTACTGTTTTGTTTATGCTGATACAGTTAGAACAGGACAACATTATCATGCCAAAGGTATATATGAAGAAAACTGCAAAATAAACCCTTACTTTTGCATTGTTGTCTTAATTTTTAATTCCTGTGTGTTTGTATTATTTCTTCGTTCTTTTCATCACTGGTGCAATCACTTTTTCAGTCCCACAGAGATGCAAATCTTGGCAGGGAGTCAAGAATGCTTTTTAAAATGGTATTAATTTGTTTACCAATTTCTTTCCTCAGAGACATCAAAGCTGAATAAAGTCGAATATCATCATTGTGTGTGTTAGTTAATGTGGGAAGTTTGCATCTATAATTTACATATGAAGTTGAAAAGCTCACATTAATGTTGTTTTGGCAAGTTTATAACATGTTGTGATAGCATATTGGGGGTACTGAGGCATTGGATTACACTAAGTCCCCGAAATTTTCTTAATGAATAATTCAAGCTGTCATCTGGCGGTGAAGTTACTTAAAACTTTTCTGCCGGCTCACCTTGAAGTGTACTCTGAAATGTGTTAGTGGGAGGGTTATGCTGCAGTTACCCAGGACACTGGTGCTGACATAATTGGCAAGACCTACAGTTTGGAGGAGGTGAGCTCTGTGGTTGTTGTGTAGGGTGGATTTTTTTGTTTTCTTCGCTTTTTTGCTATCCTGTGTGACTGACAGATGGGAGCACCCAAACAAAAGCAGAGCTTCAGCCTTTGTTAAATGGAAGTAAGTGTAATATTGGAGCCGCTTGCAAAAAAAAAAATTATCCAAAAGACATTTCTTCAGCCTGAATCTCTGCTGCCATTTTGACAAAGCAAGCTGGACTACAACCATCTCAGAAGGAAGACATTATTAAAAGTTTTAGTGTGATATTATGTCTCTTGATGGGTTTTGATGTAATTATAACCTAACGCTTTTGGTCATAAACTGGGGAGAAGGGAGCAGATCACTGGATTCAGTAACTATATGATCACCAAAGTAGTTGTCAGCCTGTGGCAGTGACAGCTCATGGAGTTGTTCCTAGGGAACAAGTAAGATATGCTTTTAAATGATGTTTGCTAAGACTGATGTCTCTGTGTTGTTCTGAAAAAGCAACTGTACCAGTGATGGAAAAAATGAAGGAATAACATAAAGGCGGATAGACTAGAAGTGGAGACAGCAATACAAAACAAGTTTGAGCTAATAAGAGAAAAAAAGATGAGGGAGAGACTTGACAAATGGAAAGTAAGAAGATGATGGGGAAGAAATGGTCACTGTAAGCTGGGACCTGAAATTCTAGTTGGCTCTCCTTTGTCATTAAGTGATAAATAAATGCTGCTGAGAGAGACAAAAACACTGCTTTCAGTAATTCAGGCTAAACCAGGGCTAATATGGCCAACTATTTAACAAAGCAGGCCCATTTCAAAGATGGGGTTGAAAAGTATTCAGATCAGTAAGTGATTTGTATTCAAGTTATCAGGACTTGATTTGAGTACTGTAGAGTTTAGGAAAGAAACGGAGTAGTGTTCTTTCATTGTGTGACTTTCCAGGGAAATGGAAAGGGCTAGCACAGTACTTAAGTTTAAAAAAGTGAATTTCTTGCAACTATCCATCAGTCAAAACGACTCTGTCCATAGAGCTATTAGAGAAAGATAAACACAGAGACAAGTATTAAGGTGACATAACCAACAGAGAGAAATTTTGGACTGATTGAGGTAACTCTTTCCAAGGATGAAGGCGTGCATGTGTTGTTTGAAATACTGCATTTCCTCATTACTAGGCAAAGACCTCTTTGCAATTTGTCCTTCAAATGTATTCTGCCTGAGGGGTGGAAGAATACAGCAGTGCATGTTTACAGTGAAGTTTCAGATCACTGCTTGGTAATTGGACTCTTTATAAAAACTAAAAACCAGCGATGATGGGCATGAGAATAAAAAACTAGTGTAGAAAATGAAGACTTGAAACAAATGAAGTAATTTGTTATCTCTTCTTGTAATCCTAGTATCTCCTTAAAGCAAGAATTCTTACACTAGGCAAAACTGACACTTTGGTATTTTAACACCAGATCAGTGGTGATGTTTTAAATGAGTAACTTATGGAGACCTCACTGTTAGATGTCTGCATGAATCTCTGTTTTGACATCTTCCTACAGACTGGGCTTAGAAAGAGGTGCAACAGCTAAAGAAGCACTGGATGTAATAGTTGCTCTGTTGGAAGAGCATGGACAAGGTGGAAATTACTATGAAGATGGGAGTTCATGCCATACTTTCCAAAGTGCATTTTTGATTGTAGACAGAAATGAAGCCTGGATACTGGAGACTTCTGGAAAGTACTGGGCAGCAGAAAAAGTCACAGGTCAGTTTATCGTTCACAGCAAAGCTCTCATTATAAAAGCTGTAAGAGAATTGTTTTGGAAAGCTGTAAAGACTTGCCTTAGAAGAATTGGTCTTAAAGTCACTGAGTTTAAATGAGCGAGTAATTTTTGCCAGTGTTCCAGTGTTTGATGAAATCATTGAATTTTAACCTTCTTCTGTATTTGTACTACTGCTATGGGTTTTTTTTTTAAATGTTGATTTCCTTTGGCTAATATAACTTAACATCTTCTGCAAAGCTGGAGATTGTTACCTGTATACATAAGCTATGTAATACTCATGCTTAAATCTTTATATTTTCTAAGTGTTGTATTTTCCTAGATCTACTTACTATTTGGAATGTGTCAAGTGTCTTTTCAGTGGAGTTAATATCCAAATTGTTACTCACAAATCTGAAATATTAAAAGGCAAGGGTAAGTTTGATAAGCTTTGAGAAGAGGGCTTGTGTTAGATGGTAAATTGAATGGGCTGCTGCTGAGTGCTGTACTGCAGTCTCCTGATAGCCTCATTTCATATCTGATACTGGAAAACAATTTTCTGCTCTTTAAACTTATAAGTGGTTTCTTTTTCTGTATGTGTAAAGTCAGAGCTGCCAAAGTAGCTTGCAGATTTCACTGGCTCGGCAGCTGAATTTATTTAAAACTCTGCTGGCAAATGTATGCACCCTGAAATACAATTATCTAAGATACATTTAATTTCTTCTTAGTTGGAATTTTTTTTTATATGTTGTTAAGATTTTTTTTTTTTTTTTTTTTTTTTAGTTTTGAAAGGAATTTTTGTTTTCATAAGAGTAGGGCTTATTAAAAGCTACTCACATTTGAATGAATTAAAAATTCAGGTAATTTATGAGGATTTTTATCATCCACGCTTTGAGCTATGACATATTCATTCAATTCTGTTTTTGTTTCTGCTTCATTGAAAGGTTGGAGATAGCATTTATGGGGAGGAGGGACATTTAACTTTGACAATACTAAAGCAAAGAAATAACACCAGGCTTTGCAGTGTTGTGTGATGGTCTATTGTCAGTTCATGCCATCAAATATGTATCAGCTTACCTTAGCAGGGATGCTGGTTTCCCAAGCAAAGCTTGCATTTTAAGGATACCTACAAGATGGAGGAAGTCTTCTAGCACAGATAGATGCCAAACATAGAGGAGGGGAGACCGATAATGCTGTCCTGATAAATCCAAATTCTGGAAAACAGCTGCCTCCTGAGGTTCCTAGGATTATGCAGTGACAGGCTGCCTTCCTCTGTTGACTTACCTGGCCACTGGCAGAACAGTGTGTTTTACTTAGTCTTTTTAGCTGCATCAGCAATGCATAACCTTCATGTCCCTCTTCCCAGCAAATAAACTGTTGCCTTTGTCTGCTGCTTGCAGCTTTTTGAAATGATATTGCAGGTCTGTTCTGATGTTTACCAGCACATTTCTCTTCAGGAGGTCCCTGTGAGCTGCAGATAGTTTCCATTTCCTGCAGCCTGAAAGGCTGCTGGATATGTAAGAACTGTGCATTTCATACTTTGTTCAGGGATTTCTTTTTTGGAAATGTAAGTGTGCCTCTAGCTTTCAAATGAATGCACAAATGCTGCTAAAACAGGGAAAATGTGTCATTTCCCGAGGTGTGTTTTTTTTGTTTTTTTTTTTTTTTCCTGACTCTGGCCCAGAGTTGTTCTGCTTATAATATTAATGCTGGAGTTCTGTAAAGCTTATAGTAAATGTTTCTCAAGCAAGTCTTTGACAGTAATTTAAGGATAAACACTTAAAAATCCTTCCTATTACTGTTTTTCAGTCTGAGTGGAAAAATTTCTTTGCTTCATAAATATGCATTTTTTTTGAGTGGGATCAAAACCATGAAAAACTATTTTACATAAGTTACTAAATATAATATTTAAAGATCTCTCAAGGAGTGGCTTGCCTAGCTTGATACAAACACAAATATTCCTATCACTGAAGTCAAGAAAATCCCCTGAAAGGTATCCTGTTTGAAAGTGTGAATCAGAACAATCTGTCAGTGACCCCAGTAAAAGGCAGAACTGAATGATGGTGACTGTTTTGCAGACTAATGCACAGAGCTTCCTACTCTTGAATACTCATCATTTAAATTGCATGTGTGAGTGATTACAAAAGCAATCTTACTTTTTTGGAAGACAGTATTTATGACTTTAACAAATACTGCTTTGGTTTCTGTTTGAGAAAAAGTTTGTGCCAAATTCCAGAATTGGGGTTTATTTTAGTTTACAGATTTACTTTATCAGCTCTTTTCCTGGCTTCCAACACGTTTGCTTCATTCTCTCTGAGGAATGCCTGCAGCAGGCACTCTTAGTCATGCTGTAGATACAGGGATATAGGCACTGCGGTATTTTTGAGAAAAGCTAGTTAAAAAACCCTTTAATATTCTATGAAGGTTACTTACACTTTCTTTTTATTTCATGCCATTTTAAAATTAAGATGAAAAATGAAATTTAATTTAAGCCTATCTTGTTGCTTACAATAAACTTCTATTTTAACTGGGAAGCTTAAAGCAATTGGTAAGCTTTTAAAAACATTTTCCAAAATAAATCTTCAGTTTGAGGGGGCAAAAAAGGTTCATTAAACAAATGCAGCTTTGCTGAAATGTATTCTGCAATCAAGTTAGACCTCAAGCTTTGTTGTGGTGGTGGAATACACCACTGGAGAGAAGATCATAGAATGGCTTAGGTTGGAAGTGACCTTTAAAGGCCGTGTACTGCAACCTCCCTGCAGGGCGCAGTAACACCTTCAACTAGAGCAGGTTGCTTGGAGCTCTGACCTGACCTGGAATGTTTCCAGGGATGGGACATCTACCACTTCTCTGGGCAACCTGTTCCAATGTTTCACCACCCTCAGTGTAAAAAATGTCTTCCTTGGATCTAGTCTGTACCTACCCTCTTTTAGTTTAAAACCATGACACCTTGTCCTATTGCAACAGACCCTGCTAAAAAGATTGTCCCCATATTTCTTATAGGCCCCCTTTAACTACCAAAAGGCTGTAGCAAGGTCTTCCCAGGGCCTCCTTTCCTCCAGGCTGAACAACCACAACCCTCTCACCCTTTCTTCATAGCAGAGGTGCTCCAGCCCTCTGATGATTTTTGTGGTCCTTCTCTGGACCCACTCCAGCAGGTCCATGTTCTTCTTGAGATGAGAACCCCAGGTGGGGTCTCACCAGAGTAAAGTAGAGGGGCAGAATCATCTCCCTGGACCTGCTGGCCACACTGCTTTCGATGCAGCCCAGGACATGGCTTTCTGGACTCAAGAGTTCATGTTTCTGGCTCATGTCCAGTTTTTCATCCAC